CTGTTTTTTAGCTATTGTGAATAATGCTGCGTATAAACCTTCATGTAAAAGTTTTTTGTGTGATAAATGCTTAGATTTGTTATGGGTAGCTAGTCAGCAGTGATATTGCTGGATCCTATGGTAACTATATTTAACCATTGTGGAACTGCCAGATTGTTTTCCAGTGTGGCTGCACCATTTTACTTGTCCACTAGCGATGTATTAGGATTCTGATTTCTCCCCGTCCTCATGGACACTTGTTATCTGGCCTTTCGATTGTAGTCATCCCAGTGGGTGTGAAGTCATTTCACTGTGGTTTTGATTTGCATTTCCCTGGCGAATAATCATAATAGAACATCTTTTCATGTGTTTATTGGCCATTTGTCTATCTTCTTTGGAGAAACGTCTGTTCAGATCCTTTGCCCATTTTTAAATTGGATTGTCTTCTTTTTTTAATTGTCACTGAGTTGTAAGAGCTCTTTATATATTCTGCATTCAAGTCCCTTTTGTAGATTTGCAACTATTTTCACCTATTCTGTGGGTGGTCTTTTTACTTTCTTGATATTGTCCTTTGAAACGCAAAAGTTTTTAATTATGATGAAGTCCGATTAACTTTTTTTCTTTTTCTCTCTCTCTTTTTAAGACCCATCTGCCCTCCATCCCCTGCTAGCTGGCCTCTCCTGAGTCTTGATTCACTACCCCCATTGCTCCCCACCCCCACCTTTGCATTGTTCCATCCTCCTCCCCACCAGCTCACTCCTCTCTTCCCGGGAATATGCCTTGGCCTTCCCTACGTGATAACTCTTCTCTCCACCTTTTTCTTTCACGTGTTGTCCTCTTCCTGTCACCGTGGTCTGTTCTCCGCAGTTGCTCAGTACTCATTCAGTCCCTGGCCGTGTCCTTCTGACTTCTATCCTGGCTACCATATAGAAGTTGTTCTGTTACCCTTCTCTGTCCTCATCCTTTTTCATTTTTCTTCCTGAGCCTCCTGTCCTTGTCCTTCTTGGAAGGCCTCGTTTGGCTCTCTGTGGGGGCTCTCCCTTGGCCGTGGCCGTGGCCAGCCCCTCTGGTGGCACCTCCTCCTCCTGTGCTGAGTGTTCTTTCCCCTCCCTTTGACCTCTCACGGGAGTGCTCCAGTGCTCCCCTCCCACCTCTTCTGTTATGCAGGTTGGCTCCTGGGTCTCTGGCTCCAGTCCAGACTCCGGATCTTCATTTCTAGCTTCCTTCTGGCTCTCTCTACCCCAACGAACTCGTTGCTGACTCGATCTCTCAACAAGCTTGAAATCAAATCTCTCTGCTGACTTCATACTTCTTTTAACAACCCCACCATCCTCTCAGGCACCCAGGCCTAACATTTTGGAGCAGTGCTTGAATCTGGTCATACAACAGCAGACTCATTAGCTGTTAACTGAGTACCTATGGTGGCGGGCTCTGCTCTCCCATACCCCCACATCAAGTCAGTTGAATTTTCTCAGTGACATCCATCCATGCATCCTGCCTGTCCCATCTCTTCCCACCTCTGGCTAGTTTAGATGCTCACCACCTCTCACCATACTGTTTCAGTATCCTATAAACTTTTGCTCTGTTAATTTTCCTGAAATGTAATTACGTTATCCTCCAATTCAAAAGCTAAGCCTACTATATTAGATTCAAAATTCTTAGCATGATGTTCAGGGCTCTCTGTTTTTTGAATAATTCCCTTTCATTGCCCTATGCTTCAACCCAGCCGGAGTATTCACCATTCCCTAAACCCATCCTGTGATTTCCCACCCGTCTCTCAGACCCAGTCCTCATGTCACGCAGTGAAGTGGGTGCTACCAGTCCCTCCTCCATCAAAGGGACTGACCAGACCCTGCTATGGATTAAGCTGCTTGCTCCTGTCTGATTTTCACCCCCCACTGTCCCTGTCAGGGTCCCTGTCCCTTTGCCCCTGTGTCTTCTGTAGTGCTGAGTGCATATGGAAAATGTATTTTGAATGAATGAACGTTATTTCTAAGGTGCTCCCTACACGGACTGCCAGGGCCCTCTATGTCACCTAAGAGGGGGATGCCTCATTTGGCTCCATCTCCTCCCGACCCTTTCTCATGCTTAGGCCTGCAACTCTCAGTCCCCGGTGACTTGAGGGACTCTCCAGGTATCCCAGGAGGTATCCCCACCCTACCTCAGAGAGAGCCACTTCCTTCCAAAGGAAGTGTTGAGCAAGCACTTTCCCTGAATTAAATAGGGTTTCAGTGATGGACGTGCAATAGAGTTGGAATCTTTGATTATAGAACCTTTGGCCAATTTTGGGAGTAGGTAATGGTCATTAGTGAAAAACATTTTCAACCAGTTGTGTTCTGGTTAATGAATTGATGCCTTTCCCCCATTCATTGTTTTATTTCCTTTAATTTGCTATTTTATAGTTTTTAGGACATGAATTTGGTTGGCAGCGTAACAGCAAGGATTCAGGAGGCCAACTGTGTTTGGGTTCGAATCCCGGCTCTGTCTCGCACTTGCTGTGTGACCTTGTGCCAGTTACTTAACATCCCTCGTTTAGTATCCTCATCTGTAAAAGGAGGAAATCCAGTATCACATACCTCTTAGGGTTAATGAGAGGGAGTAAACGAGTGATATTTGCAAATGCTGAGCACAGTGCCTGGCACAGAGTCCGTTGCTGTTCTTATTGTTGTTATTTAGTCTTACAAATTGCAATTTGTTTCATCTGTGCATGGTTTTAATCTCTGGAATTGTCGTACGCTCTGTTCTTTTATAAATCAGAGGCCCAGTAGTGTATTATCTTCATTTTACATGCCTGCTTAAAAAAATCTAGCTGTCTGATTCCCAAAGTTGCAAATCAGACAGCGTGACTACTTTGTGGGCTTAAAATAGCTGTCAGCCTTGTTGGGAAGGAATAAAAAGGGGTTAACTAGCTTCTGGTGCCTGCCCCCATCACATTTGTTCCAGCCCTTTAATCCTCGTTAGGATTAAAAATCACAGAATCTTGTTAAGTACAGTATGTTGTCTGTCTTCCCTGTCGTTCTCTGAATTTCTTGGATAAATAATTCTTGAAGCAGAGGTAATCTAAGCAGCAGAAATCTTGCATCATGGGATTAATTAATACCTTGTGATGCTTACATTTCCCTTTTCAATTTTTATATTCAGCATCGTGTTTCCTTTCAAGCACTGGAGCCGCTGGCTTTAAAAGTTACTTAAAATGGTCCTTCCAGGGAGTTCTGAGCCCAAAGTGTTGACATCCTGTAGAATGCCTGCTCCTCTAGCTCCTGTGTGTGATCCGGTTGATTTTCTGTAGCACTTTAACGAGACTTGTGAGTCTTATACCCTTTTGGTCCATCCATGAGAATGGACGGTGGCTAACCCCGTTTATTCTTGAAGCTACAGTGCTTTCCAGGAGAACTGTTGAAATGATCAACCTTGAGAGTTGAATGAGACCTGGGACTCCCAACGTAGGGGTGGCCTAGAAGAGGGCACTTGCCACCCGGTGCACCCTGTATTCGGAACATTCTGAGCTCCGTTAGCCTGTGCGTGAGCACCTTAGAGAGAAATGCTATTTGCACGCTTGCAGAATTAACGTGTGTCCCGTATTCTGTGCTGCTCTTCCTGCTCGTCCTGCGTGTGCATTTCTTGTCCGTGATCTAGGCTACAAGCTTCTCAAGGGCCAAGGGGACTCCCCACGTACCTGCCTCGTGCCATCCACATCACAGAAAGCTAACAGAATAATCGCTATTATTTAAAAAGCACTTACTATGTTCCAGGCACTATGCCAGGCTCTTTCTCTTACGTGATTAGTCCTCCCAAAAGCCGGGTGAATTAAGGTACTCTCACTATCCTAGTTTTACAGATGGGGAAACTGAGGCATAGTAACTTGCTTACAGTCCACATTTAGTAAGCGGTAGATTTGCTGAGTCAAAGCCAGGCATTTTGGCTTGGGACATCTACTCTTAACCACTGTGCTGTGTGTCTTTCAAAACACCAGGAGCTAATGTGTATCAAGTGCCCACCGCAGTCTATGGTCTATGCGTTGTGTTCAGCATTTTACATGTTAACTAATTTAATCTTCACAGTGGCCCTGTGAGGGTAGGTGTTTTTGTTCCCATTTTGCTGATGAGGAAATTGAGGCACATCTTCCTTGGTTGGATTGAATGGGCAAATGGTCCATTAAAGGGGGTGGTCTTAGCCCCTCCTGTCAAGGTTATGCCTGTGACCAGAGCCTGGTCTGCTGCGGTGGGCCAATGGGCAACAGGCCACCTGAGAAGACCCCTCTGGTGGGGCGTGTTGATGATCTCTAGATAGGGGGATGAGGCGATAGTGAGTAAGTGGGAGAGCGGGAGGCCTGGCAGGAGAGGAGCTTGGGGAGGCCCTTCCTTCCTGGAGAATGTTCTCTTTGGGCTCTCGCCTATGCCCTTCCTGTCTAACGGTGGTGGGGCATTCCACTCCCCCTCAGTGCAGCTCTTCTTCCTGTCAACTTCCACACCTCTTCCTTGCTTTTCCCAGCTCCATTTCTGAGGACCAGTTCTCTCTGCTCAGAGCCCCCAGGGTTCCTCCAGGAGAGTAGAAATGCTAAAAAACTTCCAGCCCAGAAGATGTCGCCTTTTGGGTTGGAAACTTCAGCCCACACTGCACAGTGGAAAAGCCCCTTGGTTGTGTCTTTTTTTTCTATCTTGAGGATAAACTCTTCCCTTTTTGTTTTGGTCTCTTTGGATGGGAAGAGGCACTCACACGAAGCATTTTCTTTTTCTTCCAAGAGGAAGATTAATGTCTCCCATAGGCCAAGTGACAGGTAACATATTATCTCATTCCCATGCTCTTTCCTGTAAACACACATAATCTTTACTGTAACTACATTTTCAAACTGGCCCTCAATGTGTGTGGATTTTCTCTGCTTAGATTTGGCAGCCTGAGTTAAACACATTATATCCTGCTCACCCATGTCCAAAGTATGATTGAAACTTTTTTTTTTCAGTACTATTGAAACTTTACCTGTTGCTTCAAGGTCACTTAAATGCAGCTCTTTCCTCCTTCAGGTCAAGAATTTTGCAGCATCCTCAAGTGAGGGAAATCACTGGCAAATTCCTTTGATTGGATAATGCAGCTCTTCTCAAACTTTGTCATCTATCAGAATCACCTGGAAACTAATACAAATACAGAAACCCAGGCTTGTTGAAGTCACATGGGGCCTGGATCTGTGTCTTTGCTGTGTTTTCTGGTAAGAATAATGGAGTTGGAGCACTGGCTGGCAAACTTGGCTACTCATTGGAATCACTCGGGAGTTAAAAAAAATTACCGAAGGCTGGGTACTCTCAGCGATTTTAATTCGGTTAGTATGGGGTGCAGCCTGCATGTTACAATTTTTATATCTTCTATTTCTTTGCTGAGACTTTGTGTTTTTTTCATTTGTTTCAGGCATATTTGTAATTGCTTGTTGAAGTATTTTTATGAAGGCTGCTTTAAAATCCTTGTCGGATGATTCTAATTTATCTGTCATCTTGGTGTTGACGTTGGTTGATTGTCTTTTCTCCTTCATGTGGAGACTTTCCTGGTTCCTGGAATGATGAATGGGTTTTGATTGAAACCTGGAAGTTTTGGGTATTATGAGATTCTGGATCTTAATGAAATTTTCTGTTTTAGGAAGACTCCTCTGCCAGTGCGCTGGTTGGGGAAGGAGAGTGCTGCCTCATTACGGTTGGGTGGCGGGTGGAAGTCCAGATTATTTACGGCGTCAGCTGATACCCCTCTGGGATGCGGCAGGAGTGCCTCATTACTATTGCTCCGTAGCTTCCACTGATGCTCTGACTTATTATTGCTGGGTGATGGTGAAAGTTCCAGCTTGGCACTAGGCCTCCTCTTGACACCCCAGCAAGGAGGGGAGGAGGCCTTTTCCTCTCCCAGGTTGGGTGGACATCCCAGTGTCCTGGCTTCCCATTCAGCCTTCTGTGACACCACCTGGATGAAGGTAAGGTTGGAACATCTCTTTACAACGGCTGAGAGCAGAAGTCTAGTTTCCTGACTTGGCCGATAGGGGTGAGGTTTGGGGGCACGGCTTTTTTCTGCGATGTTTGGCTGGAGTAGAGCTGTTATTGTCTAAAAGTTTTCTGTCGTGTGAGGCTGCCTCTTTCTTAGTCCTTTGGCTAGAGAAGGCTGGCTTTCCTTGGACATTTTTTTGTCTGTGTCTCTTGGTATTTCTGGGTCTCTGGCTTCTCCAGCAACCAGTCTGGGATCTGTGAGACAGAAAGAAAACCTAGGGAACACAGTTGCATGTCGTTCCTTGCATGCTGAGGTCCCTGGCTGGTCTGCCTTCTTCTCTCCGTCTTTCTGAGTCTTCTTATGCTTGTTTTCTGGATAATGCCTGGAGTTTTTGTTGTTAGGAGGAACAGGGAAAAGTATGTCTACTCTGTCTTTCTGGAAATGGGAGTTCCCCGGAGATTGGGAGTTTTAAAAGCTCCCCAGGTGATTCAAATCAAATCAAGGTGCAGAATATGAGAATCTCAGGGTTGGAGCACTGGAGCAGGCAAAGGTGGTTCTGGTGGAAGGACCAAGAGGACCTGGAATCTTCCCCAAGTGGTGGTCTTTATGAAAGATTATGTACTCCTTCATAAATTCTTATCACTTAGTCACTTTCCTTCCATAGACTTAGATTTTTTTTTCTGTATGGCCCTGAGTCTGACTTGTGTTCCCTGAGTATAATTCTTAAATGCAGGTGTAGAAATAGTCTAATTGTAGAGGAAGTATTTAGTGTGCTCCTACTGTGTTTAGGGCACGGTGCTTGGTGTTAAAGTTCAGAGAGAGATGAGACAAGATGGTGACTTGAAGGAGATCACTGTAGCTGGGAGATACTGATATGTGGAAAGATAAACACAATGATAGTATTATGTATTAGCACACGTGTGCTGGGTATTCTCCTAGGTGTTTTATAAACGTTCATTTAATTCTTCCAACTACGCTGCATGATAGATGTTATTTTCTCCCTTTCATCATTGTGATTTCAAAGGCTCAGTATTAAGTGCCTTGTCCAAGGTCACTCCATATCCAATTCAGGGACAAAATTGACCTCGACTTCGGCGCTGGAATGAGGCCTTGCTTTTTCCACCTGGACGTGTCCCACTAAGCTTTCTTCATGAGTGTGTCATGGGGGTGCTGCTGAGCTCATCCATTTATATTTCTCCCTGGACCCAGGACAATTTTGGAGGCAGCTGTTATTAGTGGCTTAGTCTGTGACTTTGGAATGGACCTTGTAGGGACTTGAAATGATTCTTGAGACTTAAAAATATCACTGTAGTAATTCTGTGGAGAGTGGGGTGGGGGGCAATAATAGACCTGGAGAGACTGTTCGGGAAGCTCATCCTGTACTTCAGGCAAGGGAGGGTAGTCGCTGGAATTAGGGCCCGTCTTCCACTCTGGAAGTTGCCAAGAGGTATAAGGCATCTTTTAGTTTGGAATGAGCACATGTGTAAGTAAAGAAGGGAAGTGAGGTAAGCGAAATGGAGGAAAAGTGTGGTCTTGTGATGTGAGTGGGGGAGAGGAGGGTTTATATGTAGGCTTTTAGTATTTTTTTTTAAGGGGGAAGGAGATAAGAGAACTATAGATAATGAAGAAATGACAGAGAGGTAGGACGACCCGTACCCCAGGAGGCTTTAAATACCAGGCTCAAGAGACATGGCTTCATCTTGCCAATAGTGGGGAACAAAAATGCGTGTTCCTAGGGGATGATATAAATATATATATTTACATAATGTATATATGTGTCTACTCACACACACACAGAGTCGTGTATTAGGAAGAGGAAATGGATAAGAGCTGCTGTAAAAATAGAAAAGAGCGCTGAGGACTAGTGCTGAAGTCCAGGTGTGAGGACCTGAACCAGGACGACGATGGCGGGTGTGGAAATGAAGGGATGGATGTAAGAGAAATTACAAAGACTCGATACAGCAATCTGTCTTGTGTTCTTAGGGCCAGGCTGCATTTGGGAAGGAGAATCAGAAATTGAAAGCATCAGAATAAATAGCCTTTACTTCCAAGGAGCTTGTGTCTTAGTGAGTCATCGCATCTCATGTGACAAAGCTTTAAACACCGCCTGTTCGACGGACACTCTAACATGTCAACTGCCTGAGCTTGAAAGCTAGTTTAACTTGCCTCATCTCTGTGTCTGGTCCTAAGCTGTTCATCATGGGTTGGGCCCTTAGCTACACTATGTCCTAAGTCCTATGTGAAATTTTGCCTTTTTAGAGCAGCCCTGATACCTTATACTAACTCAGAGTTTAGGAAGCATATTATTAGGCTGTCGATTTTTGGCAGTTTTAAGGTCTGTTTGTCTAAAATGATGAGAATGAAACTGTGTCCATATGAGCCCCTCTGTGAAATGAGAAAAGGGCTGAGTGGGATGCTGGTAAAGGTTATGAAAACATAGACCCTAGATAATTGGCAGTCTCAGCAAGCTAGGATTAGGAGGTCCCTTTCTCCCTCCCAACCTCTTCTTGGAAATGGAAGTTGCTGAAATATGAAAACTTGAGGCAGGGATTCTATCAGTCGGTGACAAATCCATAATGGGTTTCTGAGGCTAATTAGATTGTTGGGATATTAGCAACTTCCTTCGTGTCCTTAGGCTTTCTGTCAATGCTTACTGCCTATATTGTGATCACTTCTGTCTTCTACAACCCACCCCCAACCCCAGGTGGTACCCTCTGGCTTTTGAGATCCTGAAACAAGCACCGCGTCTGATTGACTTTTGAATTTCCAGGACATAGCATAGTGCCTGACACATTATAGGTGCGCCGTTGACCTTGAATGCATAAGTGAATGAAGGAAGTTGATGTCACTGAGTATACACTGCTTCTCTACTCATTACATTTACCTGGGGGCCTTTGCTAGGAGTGGGATCCCTATTTTGCTTCTCTTGCCCAGCCCAATTGTCATCCAAGTCGTGTTGGTTGTATTTCACAAAACTGTTTTGTGGAGAGAATGTGATGTTTAATGACTTTGCCCTCCTAGCCATTCCCTTGGCAAGATGATAAAGATTTTTATAGTGTGGGTCTCATTTTTCTTCTACTGAAGGTGAGCTAGCCTGTGGCCTGAAGCTGGCTTTGTAGTTGCGCGATTCACCTACGGTGAATACGTCAACGCCATACTCATTTGATGAGGCTTAGCTTAGTTTCTGCCCCTGTCTTCCAACTCTCTCAGGGTTCTTCTTCCTTCAATTGCTGTAGCGTCATTTGATTTGTAATCTTAGCATTAACTGGGTACTTGTTTTAGCATAGGCCCCATAACAGGCGGTTGAACTGTCTTTTTTGCAGTGCTGGCAGAGGGCCTAGCCATAGTAGCTGCTCAGTAAGCACGTGTGGGGTTCATGGAATTCAGCAAGGGTTTGGTTTGTGAGGGTGAGGCTGACATTCTCAGTGTCCTGTGAATGTCAGGTGCCTCATGACAGTGATGCCTTCTAGTGATTCCTTATTTCCTCTTTCCAGCAGTAGCTTGCAGTTGTTTTTCATTAAAAATATGTCTGAAGCACACACTTGAGGCTGCTGACTCACCTCTTCTACAGGAGAAGCCTTGATGCATTGGATCTGCCATGTGGGAGATGCAGTCACTCCTCTCACCTCCCCACTGCAGTGTACTCTTTTCTTCATGATGGTCTGTTTACTCATCGCTCAGCAGGGAGGCCCAGGTCTGAGAGACTAGAATGTGGCATGGAAGAGTTCTGACTGGTTGCAGGGCCAGTCCTACTCTTCTTGGATCAACAGCCCTTGAACAAGTCACTTTCATCTCCTTTGTCCTTCAGTCCCTCATCTGTAAAATAAGGGGGTTGACTTAGAACCTGTATCTTAGAGGATCTCTGAGGTCCCTTCCAGCTCCAACACTCTAATTGTACTTTAGTTGTAGTCTTCTCATGTCTTCTGCAGACCATGCCCCTTTCCCCAGTGAAGTCACATTCCAATTACTTAATGCCCACATCCTGGTTGACAGATCAGTTAGAGCAAACAGCCAAACGCAGCAAGACTGCACGTGGCGCTCACCATGCTCCGGGCTGTGGAAGGTGCCCTCTCCCTTGGAGGCGTGGGAGGAGCGGCCTTGTGCTCTTTCTTCCCTTAGCTGTTCATCGACATGTTGCTCAAGTGGAACCCATGTAAACAGAACTTATTCATTACTTGTCTCTGTTCTCAAATATTTACACCTTTTGCTGCTGTGAAAAAAATCTTTAAGTCTTAGTTATCAATTTTTCCCTATTGCAGCCGAAAGAGGAGAGTTTCGAAAAGCAGTAGAACCCTATAGGGTCACATTCTGCAGAAAGGCACAGGAGAAAACAAAATGCGCTGCAATCTTGGATTTTGTAGAAATTCAAGCGGGAAGAGGCCTCCGTGTGCTTGACAGCGCCAGGGGTGTCCAGCAGGCTAGGGCTTTGCCTTAAGGGGCGGCATTTGTTGCCCACTGTTCAAGGGTTAACCCTTAGCCTTGCTGCCGCAGAAACCTAGTTTTCTATGGCGACAGTGCTTTGCAACCCAGCTGTACCTTAGGATCGCCTGGATAACTTACAGAATGTAGATGCCCACTACCCCTAGGGATTATTTCACATGTCTGGGCTGGGGTCCCACCATCATGGTAATTTTAAAAGCTCCCAGGTTATTGTCGTGTGCAGCCAGGAGAACTGACATACACTTACAATAGGGACATTTATGAGCAGCTCTGGGATATTCAGATGGACAAACCTGATTTTAGGCCAGAATGCCTTTTTATGGATTTAAAATGAGATATGTAATTGAATGAGTGACTGGATGTACTTGTGGATGCGAACCCAGCATTTACCTCCGGGCGAGTAAGAGAGTTGGTTTTGGAGCAGCGTAGATCTGCACCCGAAGGTTGGCTGGGTGTGTTGAATGGCAGCAGGCCAAGAGGGTTTGAGGTGTTTACCCACATGATGGTGATGGTTTCCCCCAGTGAGGCCAGAATGTTGAAAGTCTGCAGGTCAGACTGTCCCCCGCCTACAAAATATCTGGCTGGACACAGCCAGCGCTTGCCTTTCTATGTCATGCGTGACCGTGTCCAGGGCTAACAATGTCTCCTTCCCCTTCCTGTGGTTCCTTCTTTCTGTGCCTTTATGCGTGCACACATTCTGGTACCTGGAGTGTGTTTTGGGCCTGGGAGATTTTCTCTCTTCCTCCTCTTCTTGCCTGCTCTCTCTCTTGCTGCTCTCTCTTGCCCTTCTCCTCTCTCCTACTCCTCAGATATTTTCCGCCTCAGACCTGAATCAGCCATTTCTCCAGAAAGACATGGTATCTTTTAATGCAAAATGGTGTTTCTAGACCACCATCTGGGCACTTGGGATGCTAGCTTTATTGGGTTGACCGTTGTTTCTAGACCTTTTTCAGTAGACAGAGCTGAGAAAACTACATATAAAGAGGGACTGTGAGAATGAATGTGGTAGATTTAAATGTACTGGTGAATCCATACTGATATTTCCAACCAGAATTCACGACTACAAGGGTTTTACTTAACCTCTCTATCATCTGTTCTTTCTTTCACACCAAGACTTCTGGTTTTCAAGTACATAGGGAATGACAGAATTGAATATCCCCTAATTACTCATTTACTTTATCTCACACTACACAACTGGCAGTCTCAGAATAACAACACTAATACCAGCATCAAGTATGATACTGAAAACAGTCCCAAACTTTCTTTGCATATGCTGTCCCTATCCTCCACCGTTTAAAAAAAAAAAAAAAAGGTTGTACTAGATGATTGTGGTAGGCTGAATAATGGCCCCTCAAAAGGTATCGGGTCCTAACCTCTGGAACCTGTGAATGTTACTTTAAAAGGTGAAGACTTTGTATACGTGATTAAGTTAAGGATCTTGAGATGGGAAGATTACCCGGGATTATCTGAGTGGGCCCTAAATGCCATCACAATGTCCTTATAAAAGGGAGGTTACACGCAGAAGAGGAAAAGACAGCGTGATGGAGGTGGAGATTGGAATGATGCAGCCACAAGCCAAGGAATGCTGGCAGCCACCAGAAGCTGGAAGAGGCAAGGGATAGATTCTCTCCTAGAGCTTTCCAAGGGAGGGCAGCCTGCTGCACTTTGATTTCTGTCTACTGAAACTCATTTGCACTTCTGGCTTCCAGAACTGTGAGAGAATAAATTCCTGTTATTTTAAGCCACCAACTTTGTGGTAATTTGTTATCACAGCCTTGGGAAACTAATATAGTCATGTGGCCATTACGTATAATAATCTCCTTAGTTCCTCAATAACTACATATTTAATACTGACTAATACTTATATGCATGTCTCGAGTCATTTTGGTCATCTCACGTTCATTGTCTGGTATCTTTAGGAAGGGCTCATGGGAACATTATTCCCTGATTTTTTTTTTCGCATGTTGGCAACCTTTTGTCAAAACCACTGGATACAGAATCCTTCACATTTTCTTTATCTTAAATGTTATTACTCCATCTCTTTTGGCATGAAGCTTGTTGTAAGTCTGATGATAATCTAATTTTTTCCCTTATAATTTGTGTATTGTTTTTCTTAGATGCCCAAATGATCTTTTTCTTTCAAGTCCAGTAATTTTCCTAGAGTATATCTTGATATCCATCTGACTCAGTATTCTCAGGTACACAATATGCTCTTTCAACATGAGGTTTCAGATATTTTCTTCTTTGGGAAAGTTTCCATGAATTGTTTTTAGAATTCTGTTCTTGCTTTGGTTTTGATCTTCAAGAAACCCTCTTAACCGTATGTTGGCTCTTCTCTGCCCATCTTCAGTATTTGTCACTTTCAAATCCCTTTGATCTCTCTGTACATTTCTTTTTCATTTTAAAATCTTCCCTACTTTTCAGTATTTGTTAGGTTTATTTTTTCTTGCATTCCTTCTAGTTTAGCTTTCATTTCTAAAATTTTATTTCTGATTCTTTCTTGAATTCTGTCACTTCATTTCTGAAGTTTCATAATTCTAATTTGTTATTCTTTCTTACATAATTTAAAATATTTTAGCTCATTTTGAA